TCTCCTACGGAGGTCTCACCTGGAACCCACTCACCCAGACCCAACGGTCGTAAAGGTGGTGGGGTTGGTCTGCTCCAGTCACCGCAGAGCACCTTCTGAGTCCTCCCAAACCCCCCCCTCCCTATCCTTCTCCTCCTTCGAGGCCCACTGCGTCTGACTATTCTCCCCAACCCCCTTGAAGATTGCTGTGATTGTATACCGGCCTCCTGGATCTATACCCTGCTTCCTGGATGACGTTTCCTCCTGGCTACCCTTCTTCCTCTCCTCTGAGCTACCCACCATCATCCTTGGGGATTTCAACATCCCTGTCAACCTTGACAACCCGGACACATCCCGTCTCCTCCACTAACCTCCTCCTTTGCACTTGCACAGTGCATACAATCCACCACCCACTCCAACGGGAACATCCTGGACCTTGTCTTCTCCAACCGCTGCGCTCCCCACAACCTCACTATTTCCCTCCATTCCAGTCCGACACCTTCCCCCCCATTGCAGTCCGAACACTTTCCCCCCATTTCAGTCTGGACACTTTCCCCCCTTCCAGTCTGGATGTTTCCCCCTCATTCCAGTCTGGACGCTTCCCCCCCCTTCCAGTCTGGACGCTTCCCCCCCATTCCAGTACAAACACTTTCCCCCCCATTCCAGTCTGGACACTTTCCCCCCCTTCCAGTCCGGACACTTTCCCCCCCTTCCAGTCCGGACACTTTCCCCCCCTTCCAGTCCGGACACTTTCCCCACCTTCCAGTCTGGACGCTTTCACCCCCCTTCCAGTCCGGACGCTTTCACCCCCTTCCAGTCTGGACGCTTTCACCCCCTTCCAGTCCGGACACTTTCCCCCTTCCAGTCTGGACGCTTTCACCCTTTCCAGTCCAGACACTTTCCCCCCCTTCCAGTCTGGACGCTTCCTTCCCATTCCAGTCCAGACACTTTTCCCCCCCCCTTCCAGTCCAGACACTTTTCCCCCCTTCCAGTCCAGACACTTTTCCCCCCTTCCAGTCCAGACACTTTTCCCCCCATTCCAGTCCAGATACTTTCCCCCCTTCCAGTCTGGATGCTTCCCCCCTTCCAATCTGGACGCTTCCTTCCCATTCCAGTCTGGACGCTTCCCCCCCATTCCAGTCCAGACACTTTCCCCCCCTTCCAGTCCGGACACTTTCCCCCCCCCCCCCTTCCAGTCTGGATGCTTTCACCCCCTTCCAGTCCAGACACTTTCCCCCCCCTTTTTCCAGTCTGGACGCTTCCCCCCCACTCCAGTCCGGACACTTTCCCCCCCTTCCAGTCCGGGGACACTTTCCCCCCCCTTCCAGTCTGGATGCTTCCCCCCCATTCCAGTCCAGGACACTTCCCCCCCTTCCCCAGTCCGGACTGTAGGGGGGCAGCTATATACCAGTGGACAGGTGTCACCACTCCTCGTGGCTGATAATATTCCCAGAGGACAGTTTATGAGGATCAGGAGGAACTGCACTGATATGAGCACCTGTCACTCACAGGCCTTGATCCTCACACATAGGTTGATGGGAAAAGGTTTCTGATGAGCCTACATTCAGCAACACAATGAATATTGTGACCAATAGGAAGAGAGATGATAGGATAGACAAGGACACACCAGAGATTGCCTGTTTATGACAACATTCTCCACACAACACAAGGCCATTAGTAGAATCAATAAGAAGCGGGGAATTCTAAAGACGGATCCAGTCTGGTCACAGATTTTTACTGCCGGAACCTGAGATTATATTGGTAAGGCAGCTGCCCTCAGGAACAGAATAGCACCTAATGTAGTCCATCCACCAGCAATGACGTCTTTTTTCACTAACCTCAAAGGATTCCACCCGTGTAACAAACGTGTTATTTGCTGATGTAATCATGTTAGAAAATAGAAACACGAGTGGTTTTCATGTTGTAACACTGGCAGATCATATGATAGTGAGGCGTTTATTTCATGTAATACTCGATTTGTAGTGTCTATGCTGGAGTGTCCTTGTGGTAAACAATATATAGGACGCACCACCAGAAGGCTAGTATATTTAAAACGAGTGCCACCAGAGGCTGATACATTACATCAACACGTATAGAATATTACAAGGGGTGTTACAGAGCGTTCCCTCTCAAAGCATTCTACATATTTCCACAACAAGGGGACCCTTCCACACTGGCATTTGTAGGTGTCAGGAATGGACTGGCCAGCAATGGTGGGACTCACCTGCCTTTTGATCTGCAGTACCAGGGCTGGCCAGCGGGTGCTCCCAGCAATCAGAGACTCAACTTTGCAGCCAGCTAACACCTGGAACTGATTATGCTGGGGTATTTAAGGGATGGCCAGACCCACAGACTCTGCCTTGGTGTTGTGTTTGTCCTGGGCCCTGTATCTGTCCTGCACCCTGTTTCTGTCCCTTTGCTGACCCTGCCTGATCTGAACTGCTGCTGACTTTTCCTGCTCTGATCCCGGCTCGCTCCTGACCATCCCCTCTGCCTGACCCTCTGTACTACGCTGCTTGCTACCTGTTCTGATCCCTGGCTTGTGACCCTGACCATCCCTCTGCCTGACCCTCTGTACTACGCTGCTTGCTACCTGCTGAACTGGCCTGTGACCCCGACCATTCTCCGCTTGCTCCCCCTGTACCTACCTGCCCAATTGATATTGACCCGGCCTGCCTGACGACGCTTGCTTGTATGTACTGTTATTCTGTGTGTGTGGTTGGTTGGGTTTTGTTTGCACTGTATTATGTTTTAGTATTGCACTGCGTTTATGTTTGTATTGTTAGTGTTAATAAATTATATTGTTTATCACATATCTGAAGTCTGATTGTGCGTTTCCCTGCGTCAGTCACACACCTCTGGTCATACCTGGGAGCCCTGACATTACACCAAGGCCAATCCTGACCAGAAGTGGCTGCACAGGGAGGCCATCTTGGGTTTGTTGATGGGAAGGATGGATCTGGATGAGGTTGAGTATTTATCTCTGCTAGTGTTTGATGACAGGAGTATGCTTATCAACTCTGAAGGAGTATCCCCGGGATGAACTGCTAGAATGTATACGGCTCGCTCATGTTCTAGTAGATCAGGGCACAGAGTTCTCTGAGGTGCATCCATTGATTGAGTTTGTGCAGAGTTGGTTTCATCTGGCACCCCCGAATGCAGGGATGAATTTTTGCCACCATTTAGTGCAGACCAGGTAGAGTCCCTGGTGTGGTTATTAGAGGATGATGTGGGTTACTTTCTGGAGCGTTATTCCACATGTTCACCACAGACACTAAGAGATTGTATAAACGCAGTGCAGTCATTGACCAGACAGGCTTTTGTGTAAGCTCAGCTTTGTTCAACCCATACTGCAGACATGGTCAGACTTGTTGCACCCAGCCTCAGTCCGCTTACAAAACCCAGTCCTGCTTCTAACTCTACTCCTGTATTCCCAACAGCTCCTCCAGTTACACAGCCCAGTATACTTGGCTATCTACCGCATGTCAGTACCCTGTTCCCACTCGCTGCACCTATTTTGCCTTTAACCCTGTAAAAAAGCCCTCTGTAGCAACTGCTCCCTCTCCTGTTCATCCTCCTCCAGTTTCTTCTCTGTCTCCAGCTGCTCCATTCGTTTGCAGACCTGCGTTTACTTGCAGTGCTCCAGTAGTTAAAACCAGAAAAAAGCGAAAATTTCTTTCCAACCAATACCATCCTGCCAGTATCCAAACCGGTGAACCTGCCTTCCGTGGTTCAGCCTGAAGCCTTACTACTCAGCCTGATGCCTGTACTCGGGCCTGATGCCTGTACGCAGCCTGAAGCCTCTACTCGGCCTGAAGCCTCTACTCGGCCTGAAGCCTCTACTCGGCCTGATGCCTCTACTCGGCCTGAAGCCTCTACTCAGCCGGACGCCGGCATTCAGCCTGATGCCTCTACCCAGCATGATGAACTGATCCAGCCTGACGATCCTATTAGGCCAGTTGACTCGATGCCGCTGTTGATCCAGAATGATCCGGTACCTGATCCGGTGCCCGCTGTCGTGCCAATTGACTCAGAGCCCGCTGTCGTACCTGGTGACTCGGTGCCCACTGCCTTGCCAGATGACGCGGTGCCCGCTGGCGAGCCAAATGACCTGATGCCTGGTGACCCAGTGCCTGCTGTCTTACCTGATGACCCGATGCCCGCTGTCGAGCCAGACGATCCAATGCCTGGTGACCCAGTGCCCACTGCCTTGCCAGATGACGCGGTGCCCGCTGGCAAGCCAAATGACCTGATGCCTGGTGACCCAGTGCCCGCTGTCATACCTGGTGACCCGATGCCCGCTGTCGAGCCAGACAATCCGGTAACTGATGACCCGGTGCCCACTGTCGTGCCTGTTGACTCGGAGCCCACTGCCTTGCCAGATGACGCGGTGCCCGCTGTCGAGCCAAATGACCTGATGCCTGGTGACCCGATGCCCGCTGTCCGGTCAGACGATCCAATGTCTGACCCAGTGCCCCGCGGTCATACCAGTTGACTCGGAGCCCACTGCCTTGCCAGATGACGCGGTGCCCGCTGTCGAGCCAAATGACCTGATGCCTGGTGACCCCGATGCCCGCTGTCCAGCCAGACGATCCAATGTCTGACCCAGTGCCAGCGGTCATGCCAGTTGACTCGGAGCCCACTGTCGTGCCTGGTGATTCGGTGCCCGCCGCTCCGCCTGGGGGCCCGAGACCTGTCGCTCCGCTTGGGGGTCCAGCGCCCGCCGCTCCGCAGTGGGGGTCCGGCGCCCGCCGCCCCTGCCTGGGGGCCTGAGACCTGTTGCTCCGCCTGTGGGCCCGAGACCCTGTCGCTCCACCTGGGGGTCCGGCGCCCGCCCGCTCCGCCTGAGGGCCCGAGACCTGTCGCTCCAGCCTGGGGGTCTGGCGCCCGCCGCTCTGCCTGAGGGCCCGAGACCTGTCGCTCCACCTGGGGGTCCGGCGCCCGCCGCTCCGCCTGAGGGCCCGAGACCTATCGCTCCACCTGGGGGTCCGGCGCCCGCCGCTCCGCCTGAGGGCCGAGACCTGTCGCTCCATCTGGGGGTCCGGCGCCCGCCGCTCCGCCTGGGGGCCCGATGCCCGCCGCTCCGCCTGGGGGCGCACTTTGCCGATGCCTGTCGCCCGCCTGGGGGCCAGGCGCCCGCCGCTCCGCCTGGGGGCCTGAGACCTGTTGCTCCCCGCCTGTGGGCCCGAGACCTGTCGCTCCACCTGGGGGTCCGGCGCCCGCCGCTCCGCCTGAGGGGGCCCGAGACCTGTCGCTCCGCCTGGGGGTCCGGCGCCTGCCGCTCCGCCTGAGGGCCCGAGACCTGTCGCTCCACCTGGGGGGCCGGCGCCGCCGCTCCGCCTGAGGGCCCGAGACCTATCGCTCCACCTGGGGGTCCGGCGCCCGCCGCTCCGGCCTGAGGGCCCGAGACCTGTCGCTCCATCTGGGGGTCCGGCGCCTGCCGCTCCGCTGCCTGGGGGCCCGATGCCCGCCGCTCCGCCTGGGGGCCCGATGCCTGTCGCCCCGCCTGGGGGCCCGGCGCCCGCCGCTCCGCCGGGGGCCCGATGCCTGTCGCCCGCCTGGGGGCCCGATGCCTGTCGCCCCGCGCCTGGGGGCCCGGCGCCCGCCGCTCCGCCTGGGGGCCCGATGTCGGTCGCCCCGCCTGGGGACCCGATGCCTGTCGCCCCGCCTGGGGGCCAGATGCCCGTCGCCCCGCCTGGGGGGCCCGGCGCCCGTCGCCCCGCCTGGGGGCCCGACGCCCGTCGCCCCGCCTGGGGGCCCGACGCCCGTCGCCCCGCCTGGGGGCCCGACGCCCGTCGCCCCTGGGGGCCCGGTGCCTGCTGCCCCGCCGGGGGGCCCGGTGCCTGCTGCCCCGCCGGTGCCTGCTGCTCCGCCCGGGGGCCCGGTGCCTGCTGCTCCTCGCCCGGGGGCCCGGAGCCTGCTGCTCCGCCTGGTGGCCCGCTGCCTGCTGCTTTCGCCTGGTAATCCGATGTGCCTCTGCCCGGAGTCCTGCCCGATGTGCCTCTGCCCGGGAGTCCAGCCCGATGT